CAGCCCTTCTTGTCCACGGAGCACACAGACCAAAGTGACTGTCCCTGGAGGGGCCCCTCCCAGTGTCTACTGCAGCCACTCCCTGTGGCAGAGTCACACGTCAGACACACCAGTCGCTCCGCCTTCCAGAGATGTGTTTCTCAAAGTGAGCCAGGGAACCCCCTGCGGCAGCTTACTCGGAATCTGATGAACAGACTCCTGGATTCCCCCTTCACAACTCCCGGGTCCAGCGCTCCAGGGGGACCTGAAGCAGCTCCCCAGGTGACTCACAGGGAGGTTTGAGGCTCACTGCTCTAGAGCAGCAATCCACCCCTCTAAGGTCCCAATTTGCTCCAAGTTTCTAAGAGAGGTTTGAAAGGGACACACTTCTGGAGCCACAGCTTTCTGGAGTCGGACTCGCCCCCCCTAATTCTGAGACTGTCTAGGGAATCTGACTCCCAGCACCCCCATTCTTATGCCCCCGATCTCTAGACTGTTTCCCAAAGAAAGCCGTCCTCGCCCCGTGCCACCCTTCTAAAGCCTGCTCCTCCGCCACGCCCTAGTAGTTCACCACTACACAGGTGCCCGGGGACGCCTTCTGCCCCACTAACCATGATGAGCATCGTGGGCATGTCACTGACGATCACCACATCCCTGGACGGTGCCGAACCCTAAACCTGCATGAGCTCACTAACTTTAGTCCTCACCAGAATCCATAAGGTAGGTAATACCGTGATACCCATCCTGCAGATGAGGACACCCCGGCTTCCCCTGTCCCCCTTGTCACCTCCATATCACCACTCTGAACACAGGGCAGGTGATCTGTAACCTTTTTTTTTAATTTATTTTAATTTTTTTTTACTTTTTAGTTGTAGTTGGACACAACACCTTTATTTCACTTGTTTATTTTTTTTTTTTAGGTGGTGCTGAGGGTGGTGCTGACCCAGGGTCTGGCACGTGTGAGGCGAGCGCTCTACCGCTGAGCCACAACCCCAGCCCCTTTTTAAATTTTTTTAAATAATTTTTTTGGTGGTGCTGAGGATTGAACTCAGGGCCTTGGGCATGCGAGGGGAGCACTTTACCAACCGAGCTATACCCCCAAACCATGTAACCTGGGTTTTATAAATTTGAGAGTACCGAGTCAGCCACACTTACACAGATTTCTCGACTATGGGGCTTCTCAGGGCATTTAAGATGTTCATGCAGTCATGGACCAGCAAGGTGGGGCTGCCCCTTTGTTATCTTGAGTCAGGGACCATGACTGTCCCCAGGCACCTGCACACTTCCCTGACAAGGACCCACTGAAAGACGGTTTGTCCCTGACATCTCACTCCAACCAGTGTCAGAAGGGGAACAGGAAACGGGCCACTCTGACCACGAAGCCATCTACTATCCTCCCATCTGACCCCAATTCCCAGCAGCAGGATGGCCTGGGTGCAGGAGAGGCGGCAGACTCTGGCGGCCAGTAGTGGACAAACAGGGACTGCAGAGTCAGGCGGGCCCGGGTTCAAACCCTCCAGTCTCCTCCAGGCAGGACCCTGCGCCTGCGGGAGCTACAGAGCGCCCATCCAGCCTCTGCCTCCTCAACCAGGCCACCTTCGTCCCCAAGAAGGACAGCCATGAAGCCCTCCCCGACTCCACACCTCCCCCACTGCCACTCGCTCGTCCCTCCTCTGTCCTTTCAGCCACTCAGTGGACTCTGCCTGAGCATCTACTCAGCAAGAGGCCACACCCAGGAACACATGCTCATGGAGCCTACGGAACAGAAGATGCAGAGAGACATGGAAAACTCTCAGGGATCCCCGTCCACACCCCGGAGGCACACTTTTGGACGGACCCCTCTGGACGCACTTCCTTCTCTTACTCTCCAAAACTGGGGGCAACTGAATGGTTTGGACTGAGGCTGACTGTATGCAGAAATGAAGGGCAGCAAAGGAAGCCAGTGTGCGTGGGAAGAGGCGGGATCGCGGGACCCAGAGCGAGAAGGCCAACCCGAGGAAGCAACGGGGCTGAAGGGTGAGCTGCTGACCAGCCACAAAAGCAGTTCAGATGTCGATCGAGAGCCTTCCGTGGACTATGTGTGGACCAGAATCGGCATGGAAGCCCAGTGAGTAGGAAAACAGGGTACCAGGGAACTTCCAGGGACAACCCCAGGGGTTAAGACCCCCTAGTGACATGTGAATTTCAGCTCCACCAGGTCCCGCACAGCACCGGAGACGGGGTGCCCTGCTGTAGCCACCCAGCTTCTCTGAGATGGGAGGAGCCTGCCAAGATGCCCATCAACCATCAACTGCAAGACATCATGAGGGTAAGACTCCATCCCTGGAACCTTCTCCCTGCCTCTGATGGACCCTCTTAAATAAACCACCAAAGAGCCAGTTTTTAATTGTTCTGTTCCAGCTCCTACCAGGACTGGAAGAATCTATCAGGCCCTCTCTTTAAACTATAATTCTGACTTTGTCTTTTATTTCTTCACTCATTATTTCAGACTCTGATTTCCTCAGGTGGCTTATCCCCTCCTGAAGAGGAAAAATTCCCCTCGCGGGCACTGGTCCCCTTCACGATGGCAGGAAGAGCTTGGGGATTATAAGAAACTGGAAGAAGCTGGTGATAGACGCAAGCCCGTAATCCCAGTGGCTCAGGAGGCTGAGGCAGGAGGACTCAGGGTTCAAAGCCAGCCTCCGCAACAGTGAGGTGCTAAGCAACTTAAATAAATAGATACAAAATAGGGCTGGGGATGTGGCTCCGTGGCCAAGTGCCCCCGAGTTCAATCTCTGGCACCTCCCCACCACCAAAATAAAAAAAAAAAAAGAAGAAAGAAAATGAAACTGCAAGAAGACAGAGTGGCCCGGAGTCCAGTTGAAAGGGGAACAGTGAAGTCCCAAGAGGCACGACCAGATCATGTGGGTCCCTGAGGCCAGGTGAAGGATGTAAAGAAAAGTCAGGGGAGGGTACTGAGTGGGCCTGGGAGACTCTAAGCAGATAGCTTGGGCTAAGGTGTGGGCCACGGATGGGGTGTGAAGGGCGGGCAAAGGTGGAAGCCAAAGTCCAGCTTCACCAACACCAAGAGAGGGACCACGATGGCATGGCTGGTAGGGTGACAACCAGGGTAAAGCACTGAGGGTGAATCTAAGAGAATTCGGAGCTAGTTCACCAGAAGACGTTGTAGATAGCAATGAAACACACAAGAAGACGACCCGGCTGATCTGAAGTCTAGCTGAGGTTAGGAACCACCAACCTACAGTGAGCCCAGGGCGGGGGAGTAGCTCAGGGGTAGAGCACTTGCCCAGGATGCTCCAGGCCCCGGGTTCCCTCCCCAGAACCAGATGCACGTCCACACGCACCGAGGCACCCAGGTACTTTACAACAAGGCCTTTCCAATTCTGCCTCACTCACTAGGACAGGCCCTGTTCCAGACAGCACCAGAGACTTCAGAATGGAAACCACTCAAGAGATGGCAAAAGTGGGCGCCTCGGAGACACGGAACTGAGTGGGATGGGGACACGCAGATTCTGGAGTGAGTGGGACCTCAGCCGAAATCTGCAACTAGGGTCAGTGGAGGGATTTCTCTGAGTCTGCCCTCCTGTCCACACGGTGAGGACAGCATGTATGTCATTAGGTCACGGGGAGAACCAGAGGGCCCACGGGCAAAGCTCCTGACGCACCAGCGCCCAATACCTGTGCACTCTGACTCCAGCAGCTCCACCTCCTCCGAGGACCAAAATCCTGTCTTTCTGTCTTAGAGAGTGAAATGGCCTTGCAGCTCCTGGACTTTCCTCTCAGTAAAGGCCAACGTTAGACTGCGGGGAGGGTCCAAGGAAGGGAAGCAGTGGCCGCTTGGTATAGGAAAGTGGTGGGCCCACTTGTCTAGGGGACAAAGGGGACTCAGGGACAAAAGGGTATGCCAGAATTTAACAGAGCTCAACCAAAAGAGCCATGCTCTCCCGTGTCCTTGGGCTCCCTACTGAACGTGGCTCTGGGTCCACTGCCTCAAGAGGCCCTGCCCAGCAGGTCAGCAGCCTCCAACCGGATCCGATGTTCCTGGAGCCAACAGTGACCAGTCACAGGGGAGGGCAAGAGGGAGACACGAGTCGGAACAGAATATGAGACAAAGAATGGAACCATTTTTACACCGACAACATCTTCTGGGAAGAAAATCAAGAGAGCATCCCATCTGCCATCGCAGCAAAAAGAACGCCATGTTTTCTCAACTCGCAGTGACGGTTCTGTCCAGACCGGACAGCGATGTACCAGGAGCAGCGAAGGCCTTTTCAAAGCCCTTCCCCTTTCTCCGCCCATTTTGCCATTTCTGACATGTTGTCCCACCAAAGTACCAGAGAAGCCATGGAAGGTCCCCACAGAAAGAAGCCAAAGCTGGAGCAGGGGACCTCGGTGACTGGCTGTTGGGGTTTGAGACCTTTTCTCTCAGCACCTAAAAAGACCTGATCCGTGCTCCACAGATGTTAGCGTATGACGGTGGATTTTTTTTTTTTTTTTTATGATGGCTTCTCTCGGTGCAAACTGACAATAACTTCTCCCTTGATGTCACACAGAGCTGAAAAGCAGCCTCCTATTTCCCATCTCGTAGCTGAAAACTGGGGCACACAGAGGTGGCATGGTCTCCACAGAGTCCCAGCTGGGCACAGGAGCAAAGCTGAGAAGCCACAGCCCCCGAGTCCAGCATCTCCGGATGGGTCCCTGCCGGGTCAAGGCAAGACTGTTCTTCCAACCGCACTGGTTTTCTGGGGCTGCCATAACAGAGCCCCACAAACCTGGAGACTTAAAACAACAGAAAGTGACTCCCTCCCAGCTCTGGAGACTAAAAGTCTGAATCAAAGCATCAGCCAGGGCCATGCTCCTCCAAGCCACTAGGGAAGGATCTTTCCTTGTTTCTTCCGCTCCTAGAGGTGGCTCCTGCCACCCCTTGGCTTGTGGTAGCAACACTCCAACGTCACCTCCATCACCCCAGGGCCTCTTCCTGTGTATGCGTGGCTCTGCTCTTATCAGAAAGACGGCAGCCATATAGGACTCAGGGCCCACGTTTGTGGAAACTGCTGGAAGACAGAAACACTCCTTCTTTCTATTGGGATTGCTCTGGAGCTGGGATGGAGGCTGGATGGAGCCACTTTGCCACCATGAGGAGAGAGCCAGAGGACGAGAGGTCAGATCTGGAGTCCCCGGGACCTGCCACACTGACTTTCTCAGGTCTCTGAGGGGGAAAAGGGAGGGAGGGGCCCCTTTTCACTTACAGCAATTTGGGGTGGAAGAAGTTGCATTGCCTGAAAGACTCCTGACCGCACTCCACGACTTCTTTAGAAAGTGGTTAGAGACAAGTTCAGGAACCCAGGCAATGCCAGCTAACCACACCGACAGTGACACTTGCCTTAGGTGTCCCTCACTCAGGCACTTTTAAAGTTTCCTCCCCTGTCGTCATTTCCAGTTCTTAAAGGATCCCTCCCAGGGACACCCCAGGATAGGGTAAGGGGCTCACTGCCTCACCCACAGCGTGAGAACCAAACCAAGTCATGACACCCCCTGCAAAACCAGAGACCAGACGGTCACTGCCGATGGCCACGGGTAACATCTCTGTTTCCCAAAGGGCTAAGCCTCCCTGGCTCTCTCAAGGTGGTCCCTGGGTGTCCAGGACTCTGACCAGTGCCCTCCATCCGGGCAGGCAGCCCACACTCTGGGGCACCCTGCACACGTGTCTGTGAACACAGCGTCTGAGCAGACTCACAGATAACCCAGGCTAATTGGCCACATCCTACCTAACAGGAAGCCTAGTAGCCAGCTATTTTCGAGCCTTTCTCACTTCCCCTCATCCGCCTTACCACAGGGCTAAGCTGCTGGGAAGTCAGGCTGGACACAACAGGGCCTGTGGGAGGGGACCATGGCCACTCCAGAACGCAGGTATAAAAAGCCAAGCCCGGGCAGAGCAGCACTGGGCAGCATCTGCCAAGCCAACCTCCCGTCTCTACCTAGAGTATCCTGGGGGGGACCTGGTGTGGGATGTGGAAACTGGGAGGGACTCGAGTTCACCTCAAGCCACCCTGGGGGGACATCTGGGGGGGGCTCCATTTTAATGTCAAGAAGCGACTTTCCATCATTATTTCAAAGAAATAACATGCAACTTCAAGGTTTATCATAGCTTCTTATTTAAAGGGTGAAATGTTTCTTAACTGAATTATTAAATGAAAATACATCCAGGCCTCCCCCTTGGAAGTGCAGGCGACGGACGGAGATGTGACTCAGGGGCCCCATCAGCTCTGTGTGTGTGAGCGTGTGTGTGAGTGTGTGTGAGTGTGACTGAGTTAAGGGTTGGTTGTTTTTCTCTCCCTACTCTCACCCCCACTTCCTGCTTAGTGGGGTCTGTCCCCCCAAGCCTGAGAGCGTCACCAACACACAGCTTCCTGGGGAGGTCTCGCTGTGAGGGTGCTCATAATGGCACATGTCTTGAGAGGTGAGCAGGGGCTCCTGGCCTTGTCCCTGGAAGTGCTCCCACACGTCTGAGTTCCTTCCTCCATCAGCTGAGGACACTGGGGTACGCACTGCCTCCTGACTCTGTCCTTGTGTCTTATCAGTCGTCCATTGGCCTTGCCACCCAGGGGCCACATCTTGTCTGGGGGCCTTACGCTGGAAGTTGATAAATCACAAAAATCTACCGCTCAGTTCTGAAGCCTGGGAAGTCCAAGATCAGGGGACAGGCAGAGGTGGTGTCTGGTGAGGACCCATTTCCAGGTTTTCACTGCGCCCTCAGAGGGCAATTCCTCTTTACAGTTTTCCTCCCAGGTCACAGAAGGAAGTTTTTCCTACAGACATTAGCCCCACACTTTGCAGAAAGAAGAAGGTTCTGGGCATAGCACATGGAGTCATGGACCTGGAAATCCCAGTTCTACCACTTAGGAGCTGTGTCACCTGAACTACAAACCTTCTCTGAGTTCCCCCCAAAAATTAGGTTGAGGACAGTACTCCCTCCCTAGGCTGCTGAGAAGCCTGGCTGATTCCGCACAGGTAACGGGCACGTAGCACGAAAGCAGTCAAGACACACATTTTTGTAGCATCTCTATGCTGACGACCATCCACAGGCCTCTCCATCAGGCACTGAGATTGTGGGGGTGGCTTAGGACAACCCACCATGCTGAAGTGCTCCCCTTTTCTGGAAAACCTGTGGATAGAGTAGTTTGTGACAATGAAGAAAGTTCTAGTTTCTTCCCAGTTGTCTAGCGAAACCTCTCCTGACCCTTCTTGGCTCATTCAGCCAGACATGCAAATCATACGCACTCAACCTTTGTTTTACTTCAAGTCTGTGACAGGTCAGCAACTGGGGACACAGTCTGCCCTCCAGACACCTGGGACCTTGCATGGACCAAAATCTAAATGAGCATCCCTGCTGAGACCGAGGGAGGCTCTGGCAGGAGTCTGAATAAGACATTTCCATACACCGCGGGCTGCGGTATAGACAGATACAACCTCCTAGAGACCAACTTGGCTACACCCACCAGGAGCCTCGGAAAGTTTATCTAACCTGTGACTTTCCCTCCTGAATATTTATTTGAAAGAAGCATTAAGAAAACTCAGACAAAGATGTAAATACAAAAGGTATATCGTGGCAGTTCTTAAAAGAAAAAAAAAATCCTTTCCAAAACTGCTGAACAAAAGAAAATGACTAAATGAAAACACATCCGTATGATGGGACGTTATGGCATTTAAAATTGACATGAGAAAAGGCCCCCGTCTCAGTCCTAAGTGGCAAAAGCAAGACCTACCATAATACGCAGGTTGATGTCGTCTCTGTAAACACACACACACACACACACACACACACACACACACACAGGCCCTGTGGGGTAGGCAAGAGGGAAATGGCAGAAGGAGCCCAGTGGGGTTACCAGACCTGATACATTTTAGGCCAACAAGGTGGACGCCATTGACACACAGATCTTGCCTGTTTTGTCCTCAGCACTCAGAAGTGAGCATCGGTGCCCATGGCGAGCAATTCAATAAACGCTTGTGAAGGACTGAATGAAGGACCAGGCCCAGCTCCCCTGTCCCTTCCTCTTCGAGGTTCCCTGACCTCCCCTAAACCAATCACACTTTTTTTTTTCCCAGCCACGCTCAGCCGTTATTACGAAGCATCACAGCCAACAATTACGGGTCTGTCAGCACTTGCTAAATTGCAAGTTACTCAGCTGCAGGAACCAAGCCTTATTTAGGTTTGTCTCCTTCGCCAGATAAACGTTTGGTCAATAAACGTTTGCGTGATGGATGGAGGGGTGGACGGATCTGAGCCTCTTCATACTAGAGTTAACAGTAATTATTCATTTTAATTACAACCCCACTCTCCTGGAAATGTGCATCAATTTGGAGAACCACTAAGAGAATAAGATCCGGGCTGCAAAGAGGCCTTAGAACTTGTCTAAGCAGTGAATGGCAAGATTGTTAGTGGGTTTAGCCTTGAAAGGCTTCCTTCTAACAGAATCTTGCTCAGAACCCCAAAACATGAAACAGGCAAGCAGCCAGTCTGATGGGAGTGAGGTTACGGGCGCCTCCGGGCCCTCCCATTTCCTCTCTGACCCTGAGTTATCTGTCTTGACCCTCTGGGCTCCAAGGGGTAGTCTGAGAACTGCCTTTTGCTGGACGTGGGGTTTTCCCAGACGGGAGAAGCAGCGGACAAGAACAAGTTCCCTAATGTCGCCCCACCCTCTGCCCTTTCCACTGAAGGGCAGCCCCTTCATGCCGGGGTTTTATAACAGCGGCTGGCCAGCTGAACTCCTTACTCCATTTATTGCTGCTTCCTATGAAAACAGAAGAGGAATGTCGCTGTGACTCTCCAATGACAACATCCCTCACATCCCTCGGATTTCATTTGTAGGAAGGCACTTAGGATCAGACTCTGTATTTATTTTTTAAATCTCAATTTGCTTTTCCAGGCACAGGAGACAGCATATGTCCCCAAAGGATTCTCTGCAGAATCCCGCAGGGAAGAGCCCAAGCCGCTCCCCAGAGTGACATGGATTATCCTACAAGGCGGAGGCCCGCATTCCCAGCCCAGCAACACCCCAACCCCCTGGCTAAGATTTTTAGGCGCATAATTGTCTTTGGGATGGGGGTTCACACTCTCCCAAAGAAAGCTCTTCTGTGGCGAGCAACGAACAGATGATCTGTTGGGTTCCTGGTTGCAAACCTGGACTTCCATTTTTGAACAGCAAAATTATGCCGAGAGCCCTACACACAATAAAGCGCAGCTCTTAAAGGATTTCACTAATTCCTCCATTTTCAAAATAATCTCCATTCCAATAAGTCCATAGGCTCCCAATAATAAGCCCTGCTTTAATTAGACCTTCCGATCCCGAATCTCCAGATCCTTCCAAGTTTGTGGGCACAAACCCAGAAGCCTCTTCAGCTCGCCGGTCCACACACCCCCTTTAAAAACAAGCTGCCGTCAGTGAAGACACTGTGACTTCTGTGATTATTATGCTTTGGGATGGGTCTCCTGATGATGAGGGGTCGGTGGGGAAATGGGGGAGGGGGCCTAAGGTGATGAGACCCCCCCCATGAGAAAACCAACTCAGCGCCAAGTGCCGCTGTCTAGCAGAGAAAAGGAAGGGGCCCCCCCCAGAAGGGGCCTTGAACTCGATCCTGAAAGTCCGGCGTGCCTTTTTGTGTGGAGTATGAGCTGGACCATGCACCCCTCTTCTTCCCCACAGCTGCCTACAAGGAACTCTGATAGGAAGAGGGCAGAGCACAGTGTCTTCCCAGGGGACGATGAGCTCAGGCCCCACACACCCTGTGCCTGGGTCTCGGTTCCCAGGAGGAAGTGGTGGACTTGGGCCTTCATTGCAGGGTGCACCCCGCGGCAGCCCCCAGCTGCAACCTGACCCCAGATCCACCCTGAGCTCACATGGAAACCAGAAATTCTCCTCCCTGGGAGGAGCGACACACTCTCCCTTTCTCCTGCCACTTCTTTCAGGGCCCTTGGAGGGCGAACCTGGGGGCACCATTAGCAACCAAGAGACTGAAACTCAACCTCCGAGGCCTAAAATTTTGGCAAGAGCAATGCAAACAGGGGAGTTTCAAATCCCACCCTAGAGTGCTCTGAAACCCCGTCTTACTTTGCACTCGGTGCATTCATGAATTGTCTCACCTCCCGCTAAATGATAACAGAAACTATTCCAAAATGTCCCCGAGGTCATTTTGAGAAAGTGGGTTTGAAACTTCTGCATTTCCACTGAAACAGGAACATTCAAATTAAGCTTAAATGTCACTTCTGAAAAATAAGAGACCCTGAGTCTTCTATGGCTCCCTAGTCCCAAGAATAAGATTCAAACTTGAGAGCACTCAGCGGCCTCGGGTCTCCTGCAACGTCCCCTCCACCCCTGGGCCCCCAGTGTCCCCAGACATCCCTTCTGACGGCCTCCCTCCCCAATGAACAAGCAGCTCACCTGGGCTGTTTCCTGTTCCTTCCACATGCCCCCAGCGGACTGCTACTCATCCTTCAGGGCCCAGGGTAGATGTCACCTGTCCCTTGAAGCCTTTCTCGACACCTCCCAGTGGAAATCCTCATCCCCCTCCCTGCTTCTTCCCCTTCATTCTGTCTCTCTTTAAATCCCCAGTCCCCTGTGGCCCAGGAGACCCCTACTCCTGTGCGCTTCTGTCCATCCAGAGGATTAACCCCTCCTTAGCTGGGCCGTGGCCCTCCAATCTTGCATCAGAACCACCGCAAACCAGACGCAGGCAGTTCCCTGATCATCACTGGCTTTCATCCCCAGGCCTCATCTGTGGATGGAGCTCGTTAGGATCTCAAGGGAGAGCCACGCCTCAGAGGGCCACTGAGGAGCCAACGGCCTGGATCCTCTTCCAGTTTCCCAGGCTTTGAAGATACCTTAGAAGCCTGTCATGACCTCAGACGGACTCACACGACTTCCCCACCAAATCTCCCCTTTAACACACTGAGTCCCAAGAGAGTCAAACTCTTTCTTCTCAAAGGGTAGAGTCCAAAAGGAAAGACAAGGTCCCCTTTAAAAAAGTGGGGGAGGGGAGGGAAAAACACAATCCTCGTCCAAAGCACCCAGAGTGCTCCAGTCCGTTGGAGCCACCTGCCATGCTAGCAGCCGCCAGTCACAGGTGGTTACTGTGCATCTAAACCGTGGCTAGTCCAAACAAAGTAGGTGTCAAATACACAATGGATTTCTGAAGGCTTGATATCAAAAAAAGAAAGAATAAATGCCACAATTTTTCTTTATCCATTTATCCACTGAAGGACATCTAGGTTGGCTCCACAGTTTAGCTACTGTGAATCGTGCAGAATATTACTCAGCACTAAAAAATACTAAGATCATGGCATTTTCAGGGAAATGGATGGCATTAGAGAAGATTATGCTAAGTGAAGTTAGCCAATCCCAAAAAAAAAAACAAATGCTGAATGTTTTCTCTGACATAAGGTCGGTGACTCAAAGTGGGGTAGGGAGGGAGAGCATAGGTGGAGAATTACCTCTAGAGAGGGAATAGGGGTGGGAGGGAAAGGGAGGGAGGATGGGAATAGTAAGGATAGTGGAGGGAGACGGTCATCATTATACAAAATTCATGAATGAAGACGTGAATTTGGTGCCAACATACCTTACATACAAACAGAGATTTGATACACTGTGGTATAAAGGTGTATTAAGAATTGTAATGCAAAAAAATTATGAATGTAATGCACTCATCTATCGTGATGTATGTAAGAAATAATAAAAAAGAAGATTATTATAATGATTTTAACACTGGTTAGTTCAGATATTCATCCCACCCGTTTCTTCTTACTTCTTCCTATGTGGTCACCAGAAAATTTAGTTACGTATATGGTGGGCCACGTGCTTCTACTGGACAGCGACGCCCTAAAAGGGTCCTGGGTGAGACCCTTACCAACAGATGGCTTCCTGGAACACACTCATGACTCTGATGATGCAATCACCACAGCTTTGACAGCTGTCCCTTCACTTGGGGACCATGGTTATCAAAAGGGTCGCTGCTTGGTTCTTTTCAACGGCGGCTCATTGTAGAATCAAACTGAAAATCAAGTTTGTAATGAGAAGTGCACACCTGCCCCTCCCAAGCAGGAGGAACCCTGGGCGGCCGTTATCACTAACACGCGCATTCCTGCAACAGACCCTTCCTGAGTGAGGACGACGCACCAGATGTTGAGACGCTGTGGGGAACAAAGCATGGCCCCTGTCCTGAAGGAGCCAGTCACCAGTGTGGGTAGGAACAGAGAGGGCCAAGCACTAGGTAGTCTGGGACGCGGAGAAAGGCCACCATTCCCAGACTCTGAGCAAGAGAAGGGGACAGAGGAATCACACAGGAGGTAACCTAGGAACTGGACTCTGACCTCGGGACACAGCCAAGCTGAAGAGAGATGAGGGTCACATGCACACAGATGACAGCCCTGGTCCCCAGAGGGGATGAGCTCACCGGGGATAGAGTGTAGGTAAGAAGAGAAGAGGCTATCACTGAATGGCCCAGGTACTGAGTCCACAGCTGAGCTTCGGGCCCTAATAAAATAATTACCTCTTGACCTAATTAGCTGAAACACAGAACAAGTTGACAGAGTATACCAGTGACTGTCACAGTCCTTGGTGTCATCATCCCAGAGCCAGGGTCCTGTTCCAATCTCCCAGGCAGGCAAGCTCCTGCCTCTCAAAACCTCAGTCTCCTCATCTGGACAATGGGAGGCCAACCTCAAGAGGTTGCAGGAGAGATCAAATGGGACAATCCAAGGACAGCAGCTGACCTACCACTTACTAAGTAGTAAGTACTTAGTTAAGTGACCATTGTTGCTAGTATTATTTTTAAGGAAAGCCTTGGATAAATACTGAATCAAAATAAAGGTTTCCCAGCTGTTGATATTTTGAGCTGGATTGGTCTTTGTCGGGGGGGGGGGGGGGGGGGGGGGGGGGGTGGGGGCACTGGCCAGTTAGGAAGGCCCTCCATGCAGAAGCTCATGACACCTGCAGTCAAGGAGTGGGTGACAGACCCCTGAGCAAGAACCCACAAGGTCCTTCACCGCACGCAACAGGCCCAGATGTGGAGAAGGCCCGGGCAGCTCTGTCCTGTGCAAGGAGCCGTGCAAAGCCACCTGACCACTGCTTGTGCCCCTGAGGGCTGCCATCGCACAAGAGGTCTCTCCCAAATGACTGCTCTCCACCCTCCTCGGAGCTCAGCTTCAGAAATGGCGTTGACTGGTGCCCTGCGCTGTTATGTTTTCCGAGTGTCACTTTTTAAAGTTAACGGGAACCTGAGGGGTAATTATGTGCATAATTGGGGGGGGGAAGCTTATGGTCTTTGCACTCGGCATGAAACCACAAAGCTGGTTTTTTTTCCCCACCAAATATAAACTCTGCTTGCACAAAAATGCTGCCTGGGGTGGCCATTTAGCACAGTAGACGAGGCCTGCAGCACCCGGAAAGTGGGGCTTCCTAGGAGTCTGGGTAAAGACTTGCTCCAGAATGAGAATAGGGTTGCTGTCCAAGCGAAGGTTAAAGTCTCAGAAAGAGGGACCGCATGTGGCCATTCTGACTACCACCTGTGTACAGGGTCCAACGTCCACCATGAAGGCACTCTCTCGTCTCCTGTCACATTTAGTGCTCACCCACCACCCACAGGAGAGGTGGGCATTATTCTACCCTCCCTTGGCACCTGAGGGCCAAATCTGTGAGTCCGTCACTTGCCCTCAGTCTCAGCCCATCCATTATTAAGCTCCTACCGTGTGCTGGGCACCTGTCCAAGTCATGGGTGCAGCAGGTCTGAGGCCAGATGCTGTTTACACAGAGATCGGAGGGTTTTCTCAAGACGGATATTGTGGCCTTTGGGGAGTTGACTCTGATGGACAGAAAGGTCCCACCCTGGCACTAAGTTCCAGTGACTGTCATCAATCCTTGGGGTGGATGGATCTAGCTCCTACTAGATGTTCAGAGCAATAGATACAAGGTCAGACGGCCTTGGTTAGTTTTGATTCCATCAATTCCTCCCCTTGTGACCAGATTCTCTAATAAACTGGTGATAACAATTGTGTGGACCTCAAAAAGGTCCTGTGAGGAATAATATATATCAAATGCCAGACCCCAGGCCGTCCTTATTGAATAATAGCCAATAAAGAGCCTATTACATCATAGGAGTATCCCCTATATATCTTCTCCTTCAATCTTTAAAACCCCCTTTTCCCAGAGACCTCCCCTGACCCTCTATTTAAAATTGGCCAGGTGCGGTGGTGCACACCTGTAATGCCAGCGACACAGGGAGGCTGAGGTAGGAGGATCACAAGTTCAAAGCCAGCCTCGGCAACTTAGTGAGGCCCTAAGCAACTCAGCGAGATCCTGTCTCGAAATAAAATATTTTTAAAAGGGACGGGGATGTGGCCCAGGGGTTAGGCATCCCGGAGTTCAATCCCTGGTACCAAAATAATAAATAAATAAATAATAAAATGACAACAGCCTCCCATGGCCCTGCCACCTCACAGCCCCCTCCTCGGTTCACTGT